GCGCCAGCCAAATCGAATTGAGCCAGTGAGAAATGAGAATAGCAACTTATTTGGAATGAGCGACAACAACAATCGAAAAGGAAGATCGAGAAGCTGTCAGAACGGAAGCGAGTGCATGTGGTTGTGTGAAATCCAAATTATAAAACTCTATAGCGACACGTAATGCTATCTATTATCTGAATGTCGGTGTATAATATCAATTTATGTATTAAAACGTATGTCACATGCATCTATGACTATGGTGTATGTGTGTGTTATGTTGTATTGTGTGACCGATTTTTAAATCGAGAAAGAAAAAAACAAGTCGCACAGTGAGGATGTGTGTCTCAGAGTCCCCACACGGTGACTTCAATCAAATGTGTGTGTGCGGCGCATATCACTGGCAATGCGAAATCAAGGCAAAAATAGCGTTGGACTCTGGGTGGTGTGCACACTGTACAATCGGTGAAATAAATTTATTTCGAATCGGAGTGGATTGAATGTGTTAGCGAATGGATTTGTAAGTGGATTTGAAGCAAATACCCCGAATGGCCGCAACATAAAGCACACACAAAATGCCACATATTGCACGTACAACTGCATTGGAATGGACAGGCACGATCACATCATCTGAATCGGTGTTGATATGGCAATGTCTCTATCCATTGCCGATTCTCGTTTCCTCTATATTTTTTCCTCTATCGTGACGATGGTTTGTTCAATTCCAAACCGACAATCTACAGACACAGGGACATAAACACAAACACACACACACACACACACACGTACAAACCACCCATCATTTCGAACCTGTTCTGAATAATTAAAACTAAATGCGATATAAGTTTGAATAACAGAATTTGAACGAGCGAGATAGAGAGAGAGAGAGAGACATTCATTAGTACTCACGATATGAAATTCAAACACCGGCACATAAAAGGATTATGCATAAAGCAGCAGCAAGAGTGACTGAGAGCTGACATTTTCATATGTTTTATCGCGAGGCATTCTCTATTTCTCTCTCTCTCTCTCACACTCTTCTTCGTATCGGATGCATGTGTGTGTGTGTGTAACGGGTTTGTATGTATTTCCGTCGTTTTTGTTCTACCGCTAGTTAATTGATTTTAAAATTACTTCCCATAACTACATTTCAACAAACGTACAAACACATTCGGGGCAAACACACAGGCAAATCGAGTCAAGTTAATTAAATTTTCGTGCAAACACGATATCACAGCAGGTGAAACACAAATTGATGCTAAATGAATAATTGAAATCAAATTTGACATGGTTTACAGGGAACTCCTTCTCTCTAGCTCACTTGCTCGCTCGACTTTTTCTCCTTCTCGCAAACATACTTGACGCCACGTATGAATTGGGTAAATTCATTCCCCATTTCAGCGAGAGAAACCATTGTTATACGTACAAACATACATGATGATTGCATTTAATAAAAGTTAGAGTTTATTGGTGGCCACTGCCTCCCTCTCTCGCTCTTACACACACATGCAATCCTCCGTCTAGCTTCGTTTCAAGTGCATTGAATTGATGGCGATGTGTCGGTGGTGATGAGTCAATCGAACAAAAAGTGCTCATTCACTCAAAACACACAAACTCTGCGGGATTTTCTTTGCGATTTTGCTCGTCTCATCATACCAACCTTACTGCCGATGAATGCCATTCAAACTGCTGTCAACCCACTAATTGAATAATACAATCGGTTCAATGATGGCAGAAACAATTCCAATCAAACTGCATCGAATTCCATTTGGCAGAAACTTTTCGACAAAAAAAAGAGCGAAAACACCAACTTCAACTTAACATTTCATTTGTACTTGCTTGTGGCACATTTTGTAGTTTCTCCGCTGTTGTTGTGTGCTAAATAAATAGATTTTATTTACGCTTAAACTCAAATTATTAACACAATTTTACCCCAACCACTCCAGTGTGCCCAGAGAAATATAGCACATTGTACCGTTAAGTCACTGGAATGATCTTGCTTCAGCACTTCCGCTTGAGAGCAAGACTTGTGCGCCAAAAAAAACCATGGAATCGCGAATAAAACTACTGAAATGTTTGCAACGCCATAACTAAGACACCAAATACAATGGCGAAAACTTTTTGGAGAAGTCTTACACGAATTTAAGTTATGCAATTAGTTATCTGGTTGAACTTTAGCATTGAATATGTTATGATAAAAAATTAGTGTGCATATTAAAATAAAGCGTACGAAAAATGACTTGGCATGTAATCCATTGAATTTTATGCTTCAATTAAAATCCATCCAGCTCAATAGCACGCGATTTTCCCACTTAAAATTCCGCAATAAATGACATCAAGGAAATGGGATCAAGTAAACATGTCGGCTTAAATCAGCCAGAAAAGAAGCCATTGGAGAAGGGGATGTGTATGTATCAATACACGTTGCATTAAATTTAGAGACTTTTCAATGTATCATCAATGTTTGATGATCTTTGGTGTTTCGTTCCACTTGCACAATTATTTTCGACAAATTCACTGTAGGCGGTAACGAAAAAGATGAAGAATGGGACGGCAACCGGAAGGAAAAAATTTGACAAAAAGGAACGGAACAACATCCCATCGAATCGGATTGAATCGCGCGAGAATAAACGGAAGAAACGTTTTCGCCGCTTGGCATTGCCGTTCCGCGCATTTGACAGAGAGATAGAGTGAGAGGGAGAGACAACAGTGTGACAAACACGAATCGAATGTTATAAAAACATCGATAAAACGTGTACTGGATTCATACTCAGTTTGTGTATTTCTGCTATGCATGAAAATTGAGTGTAAACGTCCCATCCCAAAAGCTAACACAAAAAATATTGAACCGGAAAAAACTTTGTAATGAAATTAACATTGTACGCTTATTTTGGTCGATGTCGATTTTTCGTTGCGCGTCAAATAAATAATATTTAACATTTGTAAAACGCCAAGACAGACAACAACTACAAAATAAAATTCAATTCAAAGCTTATTTCCTTTGGGGCAATCATCGTGTGCATGTGTATGTGTGTGTGTGTGTGTGTGTGTGTGTTTAACGTATTCGCTTGAGTCAATAGGGGAGGCAAAAGAGCGATGAAAAAAAAACACGAAGCGAAAGCAAAATGTACATGACAACATAATATTTGTGGTGGCGATTGTGGCTGATAATCGTACGAGTTTCGAGCTCATAAAAGTTAATCAGTTAATCGATATAATGCGAACGACGATGTGCCAAGCGGTTTGTCCCGTTTTCAGTGAACGAGCGAGCGAGCGACCGACCGACCAAACCATTACAGTATAGCAGCTCAATGAGCAGAGAAGAATGTATACGAAAACTAATCGACAAATAACTCACAACATTTTCCCATTCTCTCCTAACTAATTTCGTGAGTTTATTTTTCTTCGACTACTTCCATTTCGCACTCACTTGCCACCACATTTAATTATCTATTTGATCACCATACGTTTTATAGTGTGCAATTTGCAAATTCAAAGAAAATGACGCGGCCATAAGTACGATGGCACCATAATTAAATCACATTAGGATTTGGTTTTTCCCATACTAAACGGTTATTTTTTCACTCACTCACTTACACTCACCCGTACGCTCGCTGTCTCTCTCTCTCTCTCTCTCCCTCGCTCTTACACTTGGTTCATAATCGGCTTCGAGTTAAAATGGAAGATGTTCGGATATTTCCATAGGATATTGACCCGTGTGAAATATGAGAGAGAATGGCTTTGTTGCATGAGAAGAGAATACGCTGCGACTGTTCGCTTTATGTGCAAAGTCGAACCGAACATGAATTTCCACCAAGATTTCAAGGAGATTTTTTTTCCATTGCTGCTCTCGCTCGCTCTGTTCCATTCTCCCTCTCTCTCTTGTTTTCTGTCTTGACTGCGATTTGTATTTGACACCCGACGATTTCACAACTTTTTCAATTTAAAGACATTTGACTTGAGGTCATGATGTCGAAAAAATGTGAGCGTAGCGAAAGAGGGAACAACGTAAACGTTTTACTATGTTCAATTTGTACCTGCACAAACTAGAGAAGAAAGGGACTGTTAATGGCATTGCATCTCGTGGCAACAGCCGGACCATTCTCACTAATAAACACTTGATCAAAGCATGAAAAACGAGACGATTTTTTATTCCATTGGATTGTTTTTCTAGTCGTTCTTCTGAACAGTAATCGTCGTGTTCATTTTGCATATATAGAGTTGGCTGCATCGACTTGACTCTTCTGAGTATATTCACAATTTACCTCATGAAGAAGCGAGTCTTCGAAATGATTGTGTGGCTTATGGCAATTAATAAATGTTTAGTCGGTTTATCTTCAACACATTTTATTTTTATGTGTTCGCTGGACTCACTTTCGCGCGCGCCAGGCGCGTACTCCTTCATTATTTACTCGACGCATTCTGGAGTAATGATCGGTGTGACGGTGTGTTAGAATACCGTAAAAGCGAATGAATATACGTAAATGGCGCGAGAGATAGAGCGATGGAAGCGAAGCGAAGCAAACGAACTATATGTTTTATAGCTATATTGGCTAGTTATGTTTGCGTATAGGTTGTCCGTTCTAATCTATACGAACACACGATAATTGCTTTGGTAAAACAAGCGCATGGAAAATACTTGGTTTTGCTTATTTCAAGAATGCCCAAAATGAATTTGTGTGAAATACTCAAGCCAATAAATGAACGCTTCGAATAAACTATTTTATCCACCTATAAAACTATTTTATGCACTGTCTTCGAATTGATCCACTTAATTTTGCCATTGGTTTTCAACCATATGCAGCTAATTAACTAAATTTATTCGTCGAAAACATGCTGATTATTTCCCTATGACTTTGTCTTTCGTCCAGATCTTCGCTACAAATCTTTTTTCGTTTGAGCTCATCACCTTCTAGAACCTTCTCTATGGTTTTTTTTATATGCTTACTTTAACTTTTATTTATGACTCAAATACACTCACCGATTTTATTTCTTTTGTTTTGTTATCTTTGCAATTGCAGATCGACATCACGATATGCGGACCTGGAGAAACCGAAAAAGAAAAAAACGTTAAGCGCCACCACAAGCCTCGTATCAATACCCAATACAATTAAATTGAGCATGCTGAACAGTGGACTGATTTCGTTTGGTAAGTTTATCGTTCAATAATTTCGATTGCATTGTTGGTATTGTCATCCTAGACATATGTTCACCAACCATCGTTGTGGTGTCACCATGGGTACATTGTCGTTGCCCGTTCACTTATGAATTCAAGCGGCGATGCTTTGCAATTTTATTAGCTCTTGAATGAACGAGTTCAATATGGGCTCGTCGTCTCATGTTGTATTTTTTTCCTCTCTGTCTCGTTCGCTCTATATTGCTCTGCCATCTCGAACAACGGAAACATTTCACGAAGAGCGTTGCTTACCTTTTCCGTACGTTCCGGATTCTCCAACCGTTCAACTTGAATCGTTTGCGAATTTTTTTTATTATACATTCCATGGCATTATGCAATCGGACCGGAGCAAAAGAAATGTCGTTCGCTTTTTGTTGTTGTTTCAGGGGGGGCGGAATTTTTATTGAAAAATTCAATCGTAGATCGATTTCAATGGTCCAAGCAAACCAGTCAACAGATCATCCGATTTGTGAATGTGTGTCATCATCCAAATTCATATATACATCGTGTCTATTTTAATAATCTAATGACAACTGTTACAAAGTATCACATAAATCGCTTGTTCTTCTCCGTCCATTATTATATCCGTTATTCCAATTGGAAATCGTTTGTCATCGGAGACTTTTTTTTTGCCCGTTTCATTTTATCTCTCGTTTTTCCTTGCTCTTTTACTTGGACTATATTTTTTTTTGTAATACGGTTCGTATTCATTTTCATCGTCGTTTTTCTCTCACAATACACACTCACATACATCGCTCGTAGTTGGTCAATAGAACCGAATCTTTGTCGAACTGTGTGTATTTATACTTATAAATGATAAATATACCATCTCTCGAATACAAATGCACGCGCTGTGCGCATACTTATGGAGCAAATGAAATGGGATTGGAATGAAACGTGGAAAGCACTTGACTTGTTGTTTCTAAGAAACAATAATACAAAGCTATTCGATAAGAAATAAAATATGACCGGGTCGAAATGAATAGCAGCCAATTTAAAAGAGCTTCAGCCATCCCCGTCTAATACCCTTGATTTTACATGTAAAATAACAACAAGAAACGACAAAAGTGACCTCTCGTATCGGCACAGTTGAAACTAACGAAACAAACACAATTGAACATGTCATTTTTATGTTCAGTGTTGGTTCTGTTGTTTGCCGTATAGCCGGAGAGAGATGTCTGCAGCTTAGTGGCGTTGAATGACATTCAACATCCATGGCTTCAGCACCCACAGTCCACGCACACACGCACACACCTAGTCGTAAAAACAAGGGATTTTTTTATTATCTTATTATGCTCTTTTCGTACATTCATTTTGTTTTTTGTTTGTTGATGTTTTTTTTTCGTTTGGTCATGTATCTCGCTGTCCTTTTGTTCGGACAAATTTCTTATGTGCGAAAATATTTCGTTATTATTTCCTTGGTTACACCAGCCAAATTATTATACGTACATAAAATATAGCGGCACAGGTTAACAGCTTGATAACTTCAACGTAATGAAATCGACATGATGTGTTTTTACGCTCGCTCGTCCCTCCCCCATCTCAAAAAGGCAAATTATCTTGCCAACGAGAGAGCATTTTCATCAAGCTGGAAGCAGAAAATATTCACTACACTAAAATTGCAATCAAATTCAATTATAAAAATGTATACAACAATGAACAGAGCTCAAGCACACCGTATCCCCGAAATTGCTGAAAATTTTCGAAATGGATTTATAACAAGCAAAGATTTAGCAAACAAAGCCACAGCTGTAATGCTCCCATGACGCACATATGAAGTTTTCTACCGAATTTCAGCACATCGACAACACTAACCAACCAACTTTACGGGCATTTCACTATTTTACGCTTCTTCGCGTCATTTTCCGTGTGACTGACATGTGAGCAGCGAGAGCGAGAGCGAGAGCAAGGAGCCACGACAAATGAACTCCCGGAAATAATTCTATTTACTAAACTACATTGCGCTACCCAATATTCCATTAAACAATTCATCTATGGTGCATTAAAAGTCAAACAAATTGAAAAATCACATTTGATGCGAATTTGATGGATTTCGAATAGACTGTGAAGCACTATATCAAACACATATATATGTGTGTATTCAAATGGAATGTGTGACTTTTGATATGCATACGCAAACATATGGGATGCATATGAGCACTGGTTCGGCACATCAAATGGAATGAATTCAACATTTTATGCCAACTCAGAACAACAGTCAATGGCATAATGGATTTGGTTTTCCGTCACGAAATGCCATGTGGATTTAATTAATGTTTTATAGTGTAAAATGGACAAAATAATCAATTTGATCGAGAGTGAATTGACTTCCGGACAACAACTCAACAACCATCGCCTTTCAGTTTAAATTAATCGTACTGCTCCTAATAGCAGGCAACGGTTTGGTGGTGCTCTAAAAGCAGCCTACTAATCAATTGAGTCTCGATAATGGTTTACATGCGCTGAGATCGAGGCAAAGACAAAACGTAAATGTAGGGGCGAGAAACAAAAAGAGGCAGAGAGAGAGAGAGAGAGAAAATGTAAACCATTATACACGCAGAACACATAATTACGCAAAATGTAGATGAGCACAGGGAAAAAGGCGAAATTGAAGCGACATCATCAAAACAAAAGGAAGTGTTTATGATACGAAATGATGGTCGCAACCACGCACACAACAATAACAATAACAACAACATCGGCAGTAGCATCATCACATTAGCAGATGAGCAACGTTGCTGTTTTCGTTTCGCATGCAATCAGATACGTTGTGGTGCCAGTTTGACGGTCACATTGTTGGAGATGCTTCGTATTCTCCGTTGATCTTTTGTTTCGATGCGGCTGTTTGCTGGTGTTGCCAATTTCAATCCTTCTCGATGATAGCATGTATATCCATTTTATGAGCCTATAAAATCACATAGTGGCATAAAATTCCGACTGCTTTTATGTGATTTATAACTTCTTTTTTTAAACAAAAAAAATTATTCCGTTCAATATACAACAGGCAATATACCCATCTAAAATGTTCGAATCCTGTGAATTTCAATCATCCGCTTTTGCCCAAACACACACACACAGACACCCAAATACCAATACAACAACCAAACTCTCGAAACACGAGCAACCAAACACTTTCTTCCACTTGGGTCGAAGCAAGCAAATTGTTGGAATTTTCCAATGTACTTTGAAGTCTCACGTATATCGATTCTTGTTTCACATGGCTGATGCTTTTGTGACCAAAGTACATTAAAAAACCGACAGTAAACCTAGGGGAATTTAACTCTTACGAGTTCAGCATGTTTTCTGCCAGTTTGCTTGATTCGCGGAAGTTCGACGCGTTCGTTGTACGTACTGACGCGCACGGTCACAAGTTTACACATGTTGTTTATGGTTTTGCGCGTTTTTCAAGTTGTTATTTGACAAATTTTTGTTTTTGATTTGTTTCAAACTAAAAATCGGTTATTTACGTGTATAAAGATTTTTCACATCCTTTCCAAAAGTTCAAAGATTTATATAATTATAAAATGGACAAAGGAAATATTTTTAAAGAGCTGAAGAAAGTGTTGGAAGAAAATGTTAATCCAGATATAAATGGAACGACTGATGTGTGCGCGTCGTCCAGCTTCATGTTTGCACACGAACTCGCACAAGTTCGCGCATGTTGTTTTAATACGGAACTTGTCAACTGAGTGGAATCATGCAAGTTCTCTGGTGAATGTAACAATTTCGTGCGCGTTTTTATCATTTTTTTACAAGTTTTCACGTAGTTAAATCCCCCTAGCAGTAAACTCACTTGTTTCTATAAAGCACCACCCCGAAACCGAGATATTGTTCGGGCGAAGAGCAAAAGAAACCGAAAGAAGAAAGAAACGAGAACTCAAGCAGAAAAAATCTTCAAAGCTAAAGGCTGTTTTTATTTTAATCTTTAAAAAAAAAAAAGAACGAACGAATGAACGGGAAAAAAATCGAACACAATTCTCTTGCCTGTGGATTGGCTTACAAACATGTCCCCGCGGAGTCGACAAATGAAGTCCACCACGAATTTCTCTCTTTCTGTGTGGTCTATTGCAAATATCGGCAATGGTCGATGTGCCAGCGCACGAACTGCCTTTTTCTTTTTATTGAATCACACAGTTCAATTTTAATGCCCGGAATTATTGGTGTTTTTCAGAAAACTCACTCACACCATCAACATATACACTCTCTCTCTCTCCCCAACTATACAGTTACTTTCGTTTTTTTGTTTTGTCGGTTGGTTTTGCCGGAATAAGTTGTGATATTTTGGCCTATCTGCATTGCTGAGAATCCAATACCAAATTTATTGATTCACACGTCATGAGCTCGTGTCATCTGTCATGTGCTTTTATCTAAGCGTTTTTATTCGTAAGTTCTTCGTTGAAAAATTACCGACGCCTTCACTGTGCTACGTTCTTTGGTTCTTTCTTCCCTCCATTCATTTTCTTCTCTTCAACTCCATTTTCTATCTTATCTCTCCATTGCTTGCTTTCTCCCAATCCATTTTCGGTCCATTTTAGCTAAATGAAAGAATCCCGAACACCACAACAACAACAACAACAACAAAAACGAAATTTCATAACATTTGCAATGTGATAAAATTGCCTGCAACGAAGATTGAACGACATGACCTTTGAACGCGACTATTTAAAGAAAAAGTATCCCGAATGGATTTCGTATCCGTAGAATGTATGGTTACAGTTCATCGAATGTCTTCATTTTCCGATTTATTTTATTTGTCAACGAACAACAAACAGCGGCAGCGGCAGCTGCAACAACAACAAAAGCATTTTTCATGTGTGTTTTATTTTCATTCTTTCTCGTTGTTCCGGATGTGAAGGTCTCATGTTTCTTTTTCTCTCATACATGGCAATCGGCCATATCGATTTTAGATGTTATCTCTTTCTCTCTCTCTCTCTCTCTCTCTCTGTGTGTGTGTGTGTGTGCCGGCAAAAGTC